TCTTGGAGAAGGCCATTTGCCTGCTGTCTCACAAGGAGAAAATATGAGAGTAGCAGATGTCTAATAGAGGAAAGGGAGATCCTTAAAGGTGCATGAGAAACATGAGGCCCCTAATGAAAAGACGGAAGAAACTGAAGGCCTCATCTGTATTTATCTTATGGGTGGGAAGTTAGCATGAATAAATGATGCTTTCAATCGTAATGCTATTGTCAGTGCATACGTATTTCTCAATGAAATTAAAACAATGACAAAAGTATAAATCTAAAAAACCACATTCAGACACAATGTTCTTTCACCTCTAGGGGATCATGTTCCAATTCTGAAATGGTACAGCAACAGACCTTTTCAATTATTAGCTTGGTCATCTTGTTGTCAGGACACAAGGAAAGCAGAATAGTAATAAATATTACCTGCTAAGAACATTTGGCAAATATTTTAAAAATTAATTAGGAAACTAAATGAGCACACATAACAAAGACAAAAACAAATAAACATGGAGCTAATTTTTAGCAGTACTCCTGCAGGGTTATTTTTTCAAAATATTGTACTTTTCTTGATGGAACATGTATTAAAGTATTGTAGTTTTCATGCATTATGTCAAGTACTTATGATTAGAAATCATGTAAAAGGAGTTTTGCTACCTTCTGAGTAATGTACAATACAAACAAATTGATTTATAAAGCTGTCCAAAAGCAATTGTAGACTGGCATGCAGCTTATTTTATAACACTCAGTACTTAGAAACTGTTTTCACCTCATTTTCAAAAGAAGGAGACATCATTTGTGTATCTTTAAGCACAAAAATGTAATAGATTTATTATCCCTCAAACAAGAAAAAATAGAGACCAACGACCCCATTCAACCAAAAAAACATTCTCTTACCAAGTTGTACAGCTTCCATATATTTAGCAATCCTCCCATAAATGGGTGATATACAATTAGTAATGAGGGAACAGACCTGTTTTGCCAATTTTCTACTCTTGTCACACCATTCCGTTAAAGTGTTAGGAGTATTAAACCAATTGGCAAATCATAATGCAGATTCAGGATGTAGGAATAGGATTGGATGAAGTAAGAAGCTACATGTGACTAAAGTTATATGACTTAGAAACATGAAGGATCTTAATGGAATGTGAACCCCTCCATCAAATTGGTAGAATTGTAATTTATAGTCTGAAAGATTTACCTATGGGTTTTAAAAGAAGTTACTTGTTCACAGTCAAATAACCTAGTTATCAGACTAAGGACTGGGACCCAGCTCTTGATTCTCAGTATCTAACACTCTATTCAAAATGATATAGCCCCCTCAAAGCATTTAAGAAGGGGGTCAAAGAACAAACTAGGAAGAAAGCATACTGATACAATCAATCCCTTTTCTTCTCTTACTTGTTTCGTGCCCCAATACTACCAAAAAGCCACATATCTTTCCCCCATTTATTGAAAACTGCCTGACAATATTATACCACAATAAGTAATATTCTACTTTATATTCTAGACACATACACTGCAATATTTTGGGGCTAAATGATAATCAGACTACAGAGTAGTCTGAATGAAATCCTAAACTAGTCAAAATGTTTGGCCTAACAACTCAGAGAGGAATAAAAAAGTGAATGATAAAAGCTCTCTGTGCAAGCTCTGGTATGAAGTTGGATGCAAAAAACAGCAGGAAAAATATCTTGATAGAAAAAGGCAGATAGACAATGAAGTGGGCCCAAAATTTAACAAGAGGAAGAAAGTGGTAAGGCTTGTAATTGAGCAGCTAAGGGGGCCTCTCAATAATCCCAAACTGTTCCCTAAGATCAAAAACTAACTTTTTAAAACATCAATATTCTTCCAGGGATGTCATATGGAATATAATCTCTGAACAACCAAAATTCCAGGAGACTCAAAATAACAACGAGGAGCTGTTTGGAATGCACAAATAAGCTAAATCACATTGCTAATGAGACATGTATGCAAAGCACAAAAGATTATCAACAATGTGTATACAGGGAAAAGGCAGTTAAACAAGGAACAACAAATGAACGGATCCAACAAGGATTAAGAATATGAAGATATGAAACTGTCACAAATCTTCAGTTCAGTATAACTGGTCCACTTGAATAGAATTCAGAAACGATGATTGAAATACTGCCCAACTTTCATAAATGAAGACGCAAAGGCTCAGAATGATTGACATGACTTGTCGAGTTCACAGATTCTTCACTGCTGTGTGGTTTGGTTGTCTAAGGTTATTGGAAAAAATTTTTTCAGAGAAGTTAGAGCAAAAGGTAACAAAACAGCAATTTGGTCAACTATACTTTCTTCAGAAAAAAAATTAATCTTTAATCAAGCCCATTGTCATAACTAAAGGCAGATATAAGGGTCCATTGATTGGGGGCAGTCAGTATTATCTTTTATTCTGCCAGACAAATATAAAAAAACACTAGATTTCTTGATGTGTAAGTTTAACTCTAATGCAATATCAGGAAAGGTAAAATCACTATTTGACACAGACATGTTTTTAGAGTTTCTCTTTTTGTAATCAGTGCTGAAAAACAGTGATACACTAAACAATTAGGCAAATATTTTGGGGCTGGGATACAGCATGCCTGGGGCAAAGGTGAGGGAAGTGATTGTAAAGTTGATTATAAAGATGGTTTTTTAATATTCCTCTTAAAAGCACATAGTTAAAAGGACAAAAATACCGAATTTCCTCAATCCAAATATGTTTTATGATAAATCACAAATATTACAGTGAAGCCACAAAAGTATATTAACATATAAAAGGGACCAACTTTCAAATCCTGCCTAGGGCAAACAGATGTCATGCCTTGGCTTTGTAACTTTCTGACATTATTTCTAAAATGTTGCTCATTTTAACATTAAAAGCTCACTACTCACCTTTCATTTTAACAAAAAAAAAACCCTTATTTTAACAAAACATAACTTACTTTAAAGAACATGTTTTACTACTGACAATCTTGTCTTAAAACTTTTCAATAGAATCTTTGACAATTATAAAATTATAACCTCAGAATCTTTAGGGATTAATAACTTTTAGATACCTTAGTACAGTATCATTCATTATTCTTTCCAAGGGATTCAGGTATTTAAAGAAATATACAGGAAACAAATATAATAGAAACGATAAAACTACAGAAGAGAGGAAACAGGGGCAGCTAGGTGGCACAGTGGATAGAGCACTGGTCTGGGAGTTGGGAGAACCTGAGTTCAAATCCAGCCTCAGACACATAACACTCACTAGCTGTGTGACTCTGGGCAAGTCACTTAACCTCAAGTGTCTCACCAGAAAAAAAAAAAAGAAGAAGAGAGGAAACAAACAAACAAACAAACAAAAAAACCATTGCTACACGCTGTTTGTAATGAAATAAATTACCAGGTGCCAGAGTTTAAAAGGGGGGGGGGAGGGAGGAGAAGGCAAAAGAATTCAATTTTTCCAACAAATCTTCTGAACTTCAACATTTCTGTTGAGGGTACCACAAATCTCAACAATCACCCAGGTTTCCAACCTCAGAGTCATACTCAATTTATCCCTCTCTCTTCTGCCTCACGGCAATCAATTATTAAGTCCTTTTGATTCTACCTCCATGTATCTCTCACATTTATCTCCCTTTCTTTTGCTCTGATGGCCATCACCCTATATGAGGCTCATCTCTTGCCTCGTTGGTTGCAAACTGACCTGGATGTTTCAAGTCTCTGCCCTAATCATCCACCCTCTACCCAATTACCAAATGGAAATTCCTAAATCATAGATTTAATCACATTATTCTCCTACTCAAGCTGTCTATAGGAAAAAAAAGCACAAACTTCTGTGTTAGGTACTTAAGGTTTTTCACAATTTTAATCAGTTCTGTCTGCCTTTCACAGACTTATCCACATTGCTTTCCTTCAAACACTGCCTCTGTGGCCTTCTTCCACCTCTGTTCCTCATACCACTACATAAACTGCTTGTCTCTCATTCCTAAAAGGTGCTCCCTTTTAACCTCCACCACCTCCAGGAATTCCTAACTCAGTGTAAATATCACTTCCTTATGCGGCCTAACCAGATTTCCTCAATTGCTAATAGTCTTCTTACCAAGAATCACGCTGAATATATCTTCATCTCCTCAGTTGTGTGACCATGGGTAAGGAGATGGGGATAGAGACGACCTCTGAGATTCTTTCCAAACTACAATTTATATTATGACCCTCGGTGCCAGAGGCAAAAAGGGAATTGTGGTTGCTCTGGATGCCAAGTCCAGTACTATTCCCACTATACTATAAAGTTTCTCTGAAAGAAAACTGGCCACACCTGAATAAAAACCATACAGGTCTAGGGATGAAGTGCTTGTGCAAATTTAGAAGGCATTTGCCAATATCTCAATTAAGGGCCAAATGATGAAAATGTACTTTATTTTTGTTAGATACTTAAATCCTGGTACAGCTAAACATATTCTTAATTAGATTTTTTTTTTAAGTCTATATAACTATCATGATAAATGGCAGTTTATTTTTAAGTTCTATTTCTACTGGCCTTAATTTCCTCAAATCTATTTAAGTGTTTATTTTTGAATCTGAAGAGAGAAATAATTAGAGATCGAATGATTCTATAAAATAAAGATCAATTCCGTTTTTTAAAAAAGCAACCCAGAAAAGGAAGATATAGCTTCTGGTTTTCAGGCCTGATTTGGAAAGAAACAAAACCACAGACCCACAGTATGGTAGGATGAAAAAAAGCAGCTCAAACCTTTCATATTACAAGTAAGTAAACTGATGCTATGCCAGGATTAGATTATGGAGAGAAATAAAGTATTCACTTTTTCAAGTTCAATAAAAACTTTCCTTATATTATTTTGTAATTAATCATCAATGCAATGATTCTTCCAGAAGAATGGTGAACTATGAAAATTTATTTCATTTAGAATTAATGAGTATCCAGTTTAAATCAAGAAAACTTCAAATGAACTGATTTACACTACTGAAAATAAGAAATGCTTCAAATTATAGACATTTATATTTCTTTAAACGTTTTTTTATTTAGAGATTTTTCTGGTAAGGAGATATACCATAAGAAAGCAATTTCACTGGCAGTGAGGTATGTATATACTCTACCAAAATACACCTCATTTTAACTGTTTTATTTACAAATAAAGAAAGTATCAATGCATATCCTTGGTCTAACTACAGTATTAGCCATCCTATATGAATAAAATGAAATGGTACTTGAATACAAAAACTGGTATTTGCAAAGAAATCTGATTTACTGGATAAAAATTAGATCACTTTTGGAAACACTGTAAATAAACATTCACAATTTATCATGACCAAGACATCTGCACCATATTTTCTATCCTCACAGCACATTTATTTCAGTAATTCCATTACGGCGGTCCTTAGCATGAGCATAGTGTTACACAATTTTCGTACATATAATTACATCCAAAACAAGTTCTAAAATTTAAGTTGTAAACATTCTCTTCATATGTAGAAACATTTCAATTGATGTATTAAATTTTGCTGAAATGATCAAATTTGGAACAAATTATAAATGAAAAAAGCTATTCTAAATGGTGTAGTGAGCATCATTTATTATTAGTAGTACATTTCTACAGTGTTAAATAAAGTAGTAAAGAGGCAAAACCGTCTTGTAAGCAAGTCAAATTTTAAGTAAAACATCAAAAAAGAAACAAGTCTGTTAACAAAAGGATGTCTTGCAATAAAGAGTTAGATTTCAATCTATTATGATACAAAAATGTAAAGGGTAAATAGCATCTTTGTTGACAAAGTAGGAGGTAGCATGGATGCACCACTTTATTGTCTGAGAAATGCAACTGGAGTAAAGAATATTTCCTTACCACAAATAATTTCCAGTACTATGTACATATTTCTTTTAGAAATATTTGTTTAAACAAATCTCCCTCCACTTTTAGTACAAAAAAAAAACCTTTTCATGTCATTTTTTAAAAAACACTTACACATCTAGATAGAATAGTACTCATTGCCCTATCTGAGTGAACAGTCTCTTAAACTATGAAGTACATGATATTTAATGCCCTAAATTGAGTGAATTTAGTTAGCAGTTCCTGGTATTGTACAAAACACTACATACATACAAACAAAATATAATATCTTATTTTACTATGCAAGTCCTTTTTTTGGGGAAAAACAGAGCTGTGATTCTGGTAACACTGCAGAGAACATAATTTTTCAATAAAGTCTGTCTCTAAGTACCCATGTGCAACAAATTGATAAATGGCTGCTTACGTGTAATGATCTTGTTATTGATATTGGACACAGTTAGTTAAGTGACAAAAACTTAGTAAACCTTAAAAACACATCTTCCACCCTATATAAAATATAAAGACTACTTACTGTAACTGCTTTAAAGTACTCAATTTGCTCTGATGTCACTGTAATTCACTTTCCCCGTTTTCCTGCTTTAGGATTTATAAACAGATAATTTAATGTAGCAACTTTAAAAAAAAATGACAAAGTATTTCAAATTTACATCCAATTCAAATTTGTGATTCAAAAGGTTTCCTTGTTCTATGATGCTGCTTCTGCCATCAATAAAGAAAATGAAGTTTCAGTAATAGAAGCAGGCTTTTTAAGTAGTGATGTGACTTCTACCATGCCTGCTCCAGTCCGTGGAAGATTAGCATTCACAATATGTCGCTGTAAGTGCTTGATCCAGTCTTCCTGAACAGACAACGGTCCTCGAAAGACCAGGCCACAAAACCTGTGTGTACAAGATATTCAAAATAGTCTCATCACCAATACCAATCATCTTCAGTTAAGGTCAGTTGTAATCAAACCAAGGAACATAATGAAACAGAACAGTACTAAGAGAACCTTAACCCAAATGGTTTCTAAAGTTTCAGAAGGCAGAAGTTAGCTAAAAAAATTTTAAATGCATGAAGGAAATTACTCTACAAAGACGTGCTGTGTATATAAGGAAGAAAAATATACACAAGTCATTCTCCCCCACCCCCACCCCAGGAAATTATAATATAACAGGCAAGATATGACAAATAAACAAATATCATATGAAGTAGCATGGGATGGAGCAAAAGGAAGATTTAAAATGCACGAGGACAATTCCAGTGAGACATTACTTTTGTACTGGGTATGAGAGAAGACTTCATAACTATTCTAAGTCTAAATTTCAGCATGCCAAACTCCTCAAATACAAATGACCCATACATATCAAAATTGAATGACCACTCTGAACTGTGCCTGAAAGGATGTGGGAACAGAACCACAACACATGCCCAACGAAATAGGATTCCAACATCCCACTCTCAAGAGTTCTTGCCCTCCATCATTGTCAGGAGGCAGGACATAGGAAAGGGTATTCAAGAAAATCTGGGGGATAAAAATAGGTTTCCATTATCTTCTATTAGATTATGGAATACAGTTTTTAAAATGTAAAAAATAGTTCTAACAATATTCTAAGTGATAGTTTCCCAGGGCTAGACCATAACACAAAATGTATACAACTTAGATCTTCAATGAATTCTATTTCAGAAATATTATGGGTTAAAAGTAAGGATTGAGGAACCAGTCTAGGAATCTACCTTCCATTTGTAATATCACACTATGGGCAAGTATGTTCTGAGATCAAATTATCCAAGTTACTGACAAACTTTAAAAAACAAGATTTTGTCTTTCTTGCTTTTCTTTTTCTTTTCAAGTCAGAAACTTTGTATACTGTCCTTATTAACTAACTACTTTCTTTCAAGTGCATTATTTTTTCCTTAAAAATAATTTATCTTTGTTAAAAAATTTTTTTTAACTGATGGAGCAAAGCAAAAGCACACCTGCATCGCAGAATGTAAATATCATCAGCACCATGAGGTAACGGCAGTACTTTTTTCTTACTTCCAGATCTTGATCTTGACTTCTTTTGCTTACTATCTATGGCTAAAAAAAGGAGAGAAAAAAGACTCAATACTCCATATATTTAAAAAGCAAATATTATTAAAGTTTATTCTATATGTAATAACAAAAAGTCTGTATTTATTTTCTCCTTCTACAAAAGCCAAACCACATTACTGGTTCTACATTAGCATGACAAATTACTCAAAAAAAAAAAAAACTTGTAGTATTGCATTTTTCAGACATTTCCACATGATTATTCATGCCAGCAATTTACTGTATAAGTTATATAATAAAAAATCTTTTGAATAACTACTATCAGTGAGTCATTTATTTAGCCTATTATCATAGTTAAGACTGATCCTCTTATGACTGTTTATATATGATCCTAATGTCCAATTCTGCTTTCTTCTTTCTAAGAAAAATTACCATTGGACAATACCATTAAGACTGAATTGGATTCCTATTACATTCACTATATCTCACAATTCTCTGAAAAATTAAAGAAAATTTTAAACTATAAAGAAAAAAGAGTAATTAATTTGAATTCCATACCATAATTATAGTTTAGTTGTTTAAACTTGGTACACTAGTTCTATATGGGGGCAGGAAGAAAGGGAAAGGAGGGAGCAGCAGTTTACTTTCCTTTGTAGTTTTTAAGACAAAAATAAAGGTTACAAAATACAACTTAATTTTATTAAGGAATCAAGATTTAACATGGCGGGGAAGGAAGAAGGAAGAAAAAGAAGAGGAGTTGTTAGTTCATAATTTGGAATTTTTCCCTAACAGATTACCAAAAGGCTAATTAAGAAATAATGAAAAGCACAATATGGGAAGAAAGAGAAATAAAATCCATGTTACTGGTCTTTCAATATAATCTGACTGGAAATTCCAACCCAATTCCTTCAGAGCAAAAGCCATAATACAGAGTAAATAACTGAGGAGAAGCCCCTACTCCCATTACCCTCACAGCTTTTCTTCAGCCACCTTACCAGACTTGTAGTTAAGAGAAGCTGAGAGACATGTGTGTGTGTGTGTGTGTGTGTGTGTGTGTGTGTGAAAAATCAATCACAACCTAGCTTCCAGGGAATTGATTTATACTTCGTAAAGTCACCAAAGATAAAATTATCAACTGTCAACTACCATACTAACAGAAAATATAACTTAGTACAACGAAAAACTACCATTGATAAACTGCATGTTAGTCATTGCCTTCAACCTATCACCTATTCAATTTCTTATTTCTCCTCTGAAAGGCATTCTAAATAATGAAATAGAAAAATTCAATACAGTATTAGAGAATTAAATCAAAACTAAACAACTAAAACCTAGGTTAAAGAAACTCAGATGATAAAATACTCATTAAGTATGTAGGAAAAAGCTCAGGGATGTCCTTCTGATAGATTTTTTGATCAGCAAATTAGACTGCTGATTAATAAACAGGTTATTAGTAAACTAGCATTACTTGTTACTGCCAGACTTAGCACAGTAGTTCCCTATGAGTCAGGGCAATGGGGGTTGGGAGCAGAGGACCATAGGCATTTATTTATTTATTTATTTATTTATTTATTTATTTATTTATTGAGCACCTACTAAGGCACTGGGGATATAATACAAAAAATGGGGGAGAGGGGAATCCTCATTCCCAAGGAGCCTATATTCTATTAGCACAGATGGCATGCTTATCAAATTTACAGATGCCACAAAGCTGAGAAGGAAAGCTAACCATCTGTATGACAAAGTCAATATCTCAAAATATCCTGACAGGTTAATCAAGTAAGATGAAAACAGATAGGGAGAAATGTAAATCTTATATTTGGTTTCTAAATGAAATCAGATATATGAAAAGAGGTCTTAGTGGACTTCAAGTTCAATGAGTCCAGATTGTAATATGGCAGGAAAAAAAAAGTTAATGAGATTTTGGACTGCATTAAGAAGCCATAGTTTCTAGGATTAAAAAGAGACAGTCTTGCTGTATGCTAATGTCACATCACACTGGCAATATCATATTCATTTCCGGGCCCCTCAATTTAGGAAGGCCACTGATAAAGGAAAGGGCACTGAAAGTCAATCAGGAGTGTTTAACCAAGAAGAAAAGCCTGAACTGGGATGGTTGGGAGTGCTACAGGACAGTTGTGTTTAATTTTTTGAAGGGCTGTCATGTGGAAAAAACATCCAGAATTATTCTCTTTGGCCCTACGGAATAGAACCAGGAGAAAGGAGTCTAAGGTCACAGAACGACAGATGGAAGAAATCTTAGATATCGCAACTAATCACATCATTTTAAACATGGAGAAACTGAGGCCCAGAAAGGTGAAGTGACTGAGGTGGATCTGAACTCAGGTTTTCCTGATTCTAGGTCCAGCATTGTGTTCCCCATACCAGTGTTGTTAAATTCAAACAAAAGGATCCCAGGCTGCATACTGACTTAGAAAACCTCAAATTAGCATCTTTATGTTGTATTTTTATTTACTTTGTTAAATATTTCCTAACTCTATCTGTGGAATGTGACACCTCTGCCCTCCGCCACACTACCTCTTGGAAATTTCTGGACAAATACCAGTGTTCAAAAGCAGGACGGAGGTGGCAGGTTCTCCTTCAATGGAAATCTTCAAGCAGAAGCCAGATGACCTTTACTACATAAAACTATAGAGGAGACTCTCTTGTGTACAAGGTGTTCTCAAGAGCCATCAAATTTCTGGTGTTCCATCCATCTGAAGAGGAAGATCTTTATAATAATTAATATTCATAACAATTAATTAATCTTGGAATTACTGAGAAACCTAGTGTGTTTGCCAAGTGCTTTACACACATAATCATTTGAGCTTCTCAACAAACCTAGGAGGTAGTTCTTACTTGCAGGTTCGTATCCCTATTTTACAGATAAAGGATCTAAGGATTAGAGAGGTTAAGTGACTGGCTTATGGCAGAAGAGTTGTTAGTAAGGGCCTACCCAGGCCTCCTCAGACTTAAGACACATTCTTTCCCCTTGGTGCACTCAAAAGTTCAGTCACCTTGAATTCAGCAATCCTTCTCCAACTTCTACTTATTCACACATGCCATCCTCCATATTTGAAATATATTCCTTCCCTATCTCTTCCCTTTCTTTAAGATTTAGTTTAAATTTTGTCTCCTCCAGGAAATCTTTCCTGAAGGATTCAGTGTTTGAATTTTATTGGTGCCCAGTATTCAACACTGTGTTTTGAACATTACAGACACTGTTTGTGATCAGTGACCAAAAGAAAAGGCTTTATATACTACAACCAAAATATTTATTGCAACATGTTTTGGGGCAGTAGAGACCTGGAAAGAAAGCAGATGCTAATCAACTGGGTAATGGCTAAATGGGAGTAAATAGTTTGAACCTAACAGAATGTTATAGTAGAGAAGGAACCAAGATGGTGGATGAGGGACAGCCACCTAGATGGACTCTCCCAATATCCCCACCTCTGAACAACTTTAAGATAACACCACAAATCAAATATTGGAGTGACAGAGCCAAGAGAAGGTGGAAATGTGACATTTTTCCAGCCTAAGAAACATCTAAGAAGCTAGCAGGAAAAGTCTGTAACACTGGGGCAGAAACCTGTCTGGAAGCCCCCACACACGTCACAATGGCAGCCCTTGTAGCAGCTTCAGGAGTTCTCAGCCCAGAGATGGGAAAGGGATTAGATAAATAGTCAAAAAGAGAGTATGGGGACCCTCTTCTGGCACTAGATACAGCTGGCAATGACTGGTGACTCTGTTGCCCACACACAGTTCTGGATTGCAATTCCAGGATAAAGAGAAGCATGGCTAGTCCCTGATCCCAGTTCCAAGACCAAGAGGAATGCTAGCACTTGCAGCTGCAGGGGAGCAAGGGCCCTTCCTTGGTAAACACCAGATCAGCAGTGACCATACCTCTCCCTGGATCACACCACCCTGAAAGTCCTGAAAACTTAAAGACCTCCTCAGAACTAGATTTGAATATAGCAACATGAAAAAGACTGAAGCTTGGGACAGTGGCTCCCCACTCTTAGGTGAGCAGAGCCCAACTTCAATGTAAAGTTCAAAGTCAAGAAAATAGACTGGAAAAATCCGCAAACAACAACAAAAAAAAAACTTGACCATAAAAAACTACTACAGTGGCAAGGAAGACCAAGTCACGAACTCAAAAGACAAGGGAAAATAGCTACCCAAAAAGTCTCAAAGAAAGATGTTAACTGGACACAAGTCCTACAAGATTTCCTGAAAGAGTTAAAGAAAGAGCTCTAAGTAATAGAAGAAAAATTAGGGAAAGAAATGATAAATGCAAGAAAATTATGAAAAGATAATTAACATCTTGGTAAAAGAAGCACCAAAAATACTGAAGAAAATATCACCTTAAAAAACAGAATTGGCCAAATAGTAAAGGGGGCACAAAAATTCACTGAACAAAAGAACTCCTTAAAAAGCCAAATTGGTCATATGGAAAAAGAAGTACAAAGGCTCACTGAAGAAAACAATTCCTTAAAAACTAGAATTGGGCAAGTAGAAGCTCATTACTCCATGAGATATCAAGAAACAAAACAAATTCAGAAGAATGAAAAATAGAAGAAAATGCGGAATATCTCATCAGAAAAACAAATGACCTGGAAAATATATCAAAGAGAGATAATTTAAGAACCACTGAACAACTTGAAAGTCTTGATCAAAAAAGAGCCTAAATATCATATTTCAAGAAATTTTAAAACAGCCCCAACATCTTAGATCCAGGGGGTAAAATGAAAGTTGAAAGAATCCACAGATCACTTCTTGAAGAGATACCAAAATGAAAAGTCCCACGAATATTGTAGCCAAATTCTAGAGCTCCGAGGTCAAAGCTGCCAAAAAGAAACAATTCAAATATTTTGGAGCCACAGTCAGGATCATACAAGATTTAGCAGCTTCCACATTAAAGGAGCAGAGGACTTGGAATACATTCTGGAAGGCAAAAGAGCTAGTATGACAACCAAGAATAATCTACCCAGTGTGAGAAATGAATATTTCTCTTATTTTTAATAACTAATTATTGTATTGGGTTCAAG